AAACGCTTGACAATAGTCAAAACAATGGTTCGTATTGGAAAAACCAGGACCAAAAATTTTTAACAGGATTGTTTGTTTCTGATCTCCGACAGCAGGGGAGTGGATCAGCGACGCTTCAGAGTGTTGGACGTGGATGCAAAAGGTAATCTATATCTTTACAAGACGGCGTTGCTCTGCAAGAACGAAATTATCAAACGGTTGAGAAATGGGACGTACAGTTTGGCAGAGCAGACAGAACTAGGTATGATATTTCTCTTTTACTTTTACGAAATCAGTATAAACATATTAAGAAAAGCGAGACTGACTTGAACACCAAAGTGCTTTTCACCTCATGCCCTTGTATTTTACGTTTTAGGCCGTTTAATGCCATCCTTTCAGGATTGGGAATTTCAAAATGTGTCTGTACTTGTGTTACGTACATTCCCCGAAAAATGTTTGTTTCAGAAATGAAACCCTTGTCTTGAGTACACCTTCAACGAGGTTTAAGTTTCTTGGATTACTTTTTCATATTCCTCTTCTTTCGGTTAAAAACTAAATATTTTTGTTTAGCTAAATATATGTCTTGAATTGCAAGAGATCCAGCACCAATCTGTGATCCAGCAAAATAACTGGGCTGGAGTTATACTTCTGAGAAAAATAGCGGACGAGATACCCGTAATTTTATTCTTTCGCCAGAAATTTACCAGCGTTCAGTGATGTATATACAATCAGAAAATCATTTATGAGCAGATTTGATAGGAATGCCCCACTGACTACATGTTTATCTTGTTTTTATAGAATTAATAGGATTGTCAAAAGACTTAGCAGTGCTGAACTGTAAGGTGCTCAAAAAGAAGTCCCCATACGCCGTGTCAGGCGTTTATTGGATAGATCCTGATGGCGGTTCCCGTAGCAACGCTTTCCAGGCCTACTGCGACCAGCAAACGGATGGAGGGGGTTGGACATTGGTTTACAGCTATACCTTTACCGATTACTCACATTTCAAGGCTGCATCAAACGCTGTCATCCCGCGTCCATCCTGGTCAGCGGGCGGCTCCAACGTCCGAGTGTCCAAAACAGTTCCACTGAGCGAGACTCAATACGAGGCCATGGACTTTTCTTTGTGGCGCAGCATTGGTGAGGAAACCCTGATCAAGAGCAATATCAACAACTGGTTCGCATGCAAGGAAGGTTCTGGTAGCATAGTGAAACAGAAGAAGGGGTCGCTTTCTTGTAAACTGGTGAAGCAGGTTGCTAAGAACTGCGGTGGAGCGGCACCAAATACCTGGAAGTTTTATGGGTATGGACCTTCCTTCGGCGGAGGTCAATTCTATTATTTTGATGGGAGCACAAATAGCAATTGGCCTACCCATGATCCTTGTGGAAGATATCGAGCAGACCACTTGAGAAACGTGTCAAACCCGCACGGAAACATTTTCATCCGTTGAAAGCATGTGAAAGTTTTCCAGCACTTAGGAGTGCCGATTTTGATTTTGTAAGCGGCATCAATGAAACCTTCTGCCTAGAAGTTTCGAAGCGAATAAATATGGGTTCTTGATTTATGAGATATCAGTGACTGATTTTGTCAAGAGCTTACAATTTTTAGGTAAAAGTTGTAACCTTCATCTTTTCCGAGTTGAGCAAGTTCCCGTGTTTGAACTTTGTTCAATAACGAGATAACTCACGAGATACGCTGATCTACTGATTTCAGAGAGTCTCTAATAAGCATTTGTTTCAACCTATAGATAAAAAGGGGGGATGGATCTAATGGTACTGAGTATATCTCTGCAAATATCATGTTCACTTAAGTGGTAGTAGCTTGAAAGCAACAGGATAAATGGGTGAAGAATAGTTATATGGTAACTCCCTTCAAAACTTATTTAAAACAGCTCCCTCCAACTCTAAGGCAGCTTTCTAAGACTAAAGTTTTCTTTTAGAAGGTGATATTGGACGCACGTTTTCTAAACTAGTGTCCAGAATTGTGGCTGATGGTCATAATTTCCAGAAATCACTTGAGAAATGTCATCCAGCAAATAAGAAATGGCAGGGCTATTTTCGAGTACATCTTAGGCTCGGACTGTTTAGCTAAGAAAAATGAAAAACTAGGTAAGTCATCAGAAATGGGATTTTCAATTTCAAAGTTGAAATGAGTTCGTTTCCTCTATGTAAGTAGTAGTAATATAGCCTCTGAAAAAGGTGTGTATAACAAAAATAGTGTAGGACAAAAAAAATCTGATTGGACCAACGAGAGTTCATAAGATGAAAAAACCCACCCGGCGCGCACGTGGCGGGTGTCAGCTGGTCAGGGAATTTAGGCAAGAGCCAACAGTTTCATTGGAAAGTAGAGAATGGTAAAGCTTATACAAAAATAGAAATAGGTGAAAGAAAAAATAGTAAATTCGACTCTTTGGCGCCATATGGTCACTAAACGCCATTAGGTCACTTCAAGCATTTTGGGGATGGGGGGAGGGAAATCTGTTTTACTTATTTCTTTGTTTATTTTCTTAATCAACTTATCTCGTACTTCTTATTTATTTTACGAACGGAAAACAACAAAATCAAGAATTTTTAATGAAAACAAAAAACATTCCTTTCCTTACTAAGGTTGAACTTTTTAGATCAAAACTCCTGATGATGTCCCAAAGAGTTAGGATGGAACCTTATCTCTTTCGCTGTACACTGTAACTAAGCCTAAGACCCGATCATATCCAGAGACGCCCGAAGATTTCCGAGCATGTCAAAAAAACTTATGATGATGTCCCGAAGAGTTCTGATGCAACCTTATCTCATGCGCTGTCACTAAGCCTGAGACCCGATCATATCCGAAGACACCCGAAGATTTCCAAGGATGTTCAAAAAACTTCTGATGATGTCCCGAAGAGTTCGGATGCAACCTCATTTTATGCGCTTTACACTGTAACTAAGCCTGAGACCCAATCATTTCCGAAGACACTCAAAGATTTCGGAGGATGTTTAAGAAAACTTCTGATGATGTCCCGAAGAGTTCTGATGCAAAATCATACCTCAACATGAGACTATCGAATCAAAGACACCCGAACACTCCTAGGGATGTCCCAAAGATTTCTGATGATATCCCGAACCTTATCTTTTGCGCTAGACACTGAACTTTGACCTGAGACCGATCATATAAGAAGACACCCAAACACTTCCGACGACGTCTCAGAATTTTTCCGAAGACGTCCCGAAGAGTTTTAACGGCCTTGAACTTATCGCCAATACATTGCACATTACCATAGCTTAGGTTAAACTTAAACTCACGCAATTTTATCTTGAAGCGTTTCTATTTCCTTCCTCTGGTCTTCAGCAGTTTTTGTTAGCTTCTTGAATTAAAAATGATATTGGATCCGTAATTAAAGAAATATTAGCAAACCTCTTACGACATGCGGCTGGACCAGTTTTAACATTTTTAAAAGGTTTTATATTTTTGAAAGATATAGTAGAAATTGGAAACAATGTTATAAAGAATTACTTAAAAGGAAAAGATGAAAGCAACAACCAAGTGTCTTAATGCCTATGTCATACAGCAACACAGCAACACCAACCTTAATCCTTGGATTGTCCTTCTAGGATGGCTGACTAGAAGATTGCGAAACGTGGAAATAAAAAGAATATAAAATGCCGAGTTAAGTTTAGAAAAAGAAATCCTTGAAGATTTTGCATTAAAAAGAAATAAACTGAAAGGGAAAAAACCTCGGCAAAGAGAAAAGTATAGTAATTTTAAATTTTCTCCCTCAAGTCTTCAGAAGTGTAAAACAATTATCTCAGTCCGACGATCGCTGACCGGAAGTTTACGCTCATTACAGGATGTGTATTTGGTTTACATTACTATCTCTGAAGATGTTTCTTTTACCTTTTTTTTCTTCCCTTTTTCCGCAGCGCTCTGCTCAGCGGGTTTCACCTTGCATTCTGCGGACTGAAAATGCAACAAAACTTAATTTCTCTCTTACTTTTTATAACCTGTGCGTTAGCAGACTTTTGCATTCAATTCAAAACTAAGACATAAACTCTCTTATTGACCTTTTTAATTTTAACTTATTTCGCGTAAATCAGCGTTGAAAATCCCCACGCCCACTTCGTTCAAAACGCCGTCGGTTTCTGAGATTAGCGTACGTAGTCATGACGACCTGACGTTGCAATGGACTTCATTTGCCATATTTGGAAAAACTCTGGACTTGCACGAGCTTCTTGTCGCGCAATCTTGAAAAACTTGCTGTTAATGAAAGGCCTCAGAAAAGTACATTTAATAATTTAATTCGTGGTCATTGATGACGTTTCACGTTCCTTGTCCCAAGTTCGAGAATAATTTGTGCTGTTTACCTTTCAAATTGATATCCAGACTTTATGTCGCTGCCAGTCGGTTAAATTTTACGTTTCTGTCAACATCTCCCTTGGTTTGAATCAAAATTTTGAGTTACCTTGAATGAAATTTTTCCACCTTAAAAAAGGTTTTATCCCAGATGCATTGATGCAATTCATAGCTTTTCGTTATGTTAAATAAAATTTTCACATTCCCAACGAGTGAATATACATTGCCGGCTGAGAACACCCGTAAGTTGGAGTTTCGGACTTCAACGATGTCTAGCTCCGTTTATTATATTCCATAAGAATGAATTATTCATAAACAGTTCGTGATTCCTCGTGAAAATCAAAGATCGATTGAAATACCTTGCAATCTCTGCTGGCGAGGATGAAATTCCTTTTTGGGCAGCACGACGCTTGGGTGCTGTCAACTTTCTTAATTTCAGTGGCGAAAAATATGATATTCGTAGGATTTCGTTCACTACAGATTATAAACAACAATTCTTGAATGAAATAAATTACTCTTGTCGGTTAGGCACCTAAAAAAAGATATCCGAAGAAAATATATTTTTAATCAGTCACACCTAATAACAATAAACCTTATTTTGATGAAAACCAAACTGAAGCATTTGAAATTTTACAGAGGTAGAGAGGTGAAATCCTTGCCAAAATAGCTCTTCTTTACGATGCAATTCTGTTTCATTCTCTCTCCTTAGAAGTGCAAGAGCCTTGAAAACTCACTTGCATGTACTCCAAACAGCTTCACAAACCATGCTATTTTCTGAAACATCAATATTTCGTCCTTTCAAGTCAAAAGATTACACTCCCCATTCTCTTAAAATAATTTTCTAAAGTTTCATACAGATTAACCGTTTACGAGAGTAAAAATTTATTCGAATATCTAGTTTGCATACTAAAGCGAGACTCAAAGATTTCCCGGCATGCATCACTCCTTACTACTTTTTGGCCAATAAGATGTTACTGCAACACCCTCTGTGAAAAATGGACTTTTTTATATTTTTTAGTTCAAGAACTGATTAAAAATAGTATGCTTTTTTAGGAAGAAGAAGAAAAAAATAATGATACTCTATTTAGGTGGATGCAATAAAGATAATCAGGAGACTTATTTGTAGGGAGAACAAGTAACATTCAAAATTTACTTTTAGTGCTTAGTAAAAACTGATGATCAATCCATTTTTGGCAAGAAAAGAACATGAAAAAGAATATATGAATCTCATAAACTACATCAACTGTACAATTAAGAAAACTGGTCGTGAGGGCCATGTATCTTAAGACACTTTGCTTGCTTTATTCAGTCCAGCACTGAAGTGTTCAACCCAATAGAACATACAAAGCAAAAGTGAATTGGAAAATTGCATGCCTAAATAAGGCTGTAATCATTTCTCACAATTTTGATTATTTATCCATCAAAGAGACAGACGACAGAGAGAGGCAGTAGGTAGTAGCTATAGAGTGCTATTTGATACAAAACAAAATTCTCCTAACTAATTTACAATGAAGTATACAGCACATAAGCCCAAAAGAGATTGTAGCAAAATATATAGAATTACAAACAGTTTCCAAAAGGAAAGAAAACTTATGTTTTAATTAAAAAAAAAGATAAACAAAATTAAAAAAACTTATCTACTTTATGTACAATAACAAACTAAGATATAGTATCAAAAAAATGGAAGCATGTCTAGTGGTTGCAAAGAAACAAATCTGGGGATATCCTTACTGGAATAAGTAGTGCAAAAATCAAAATAATCTAGCTATATTTAAATAAATACTTGAAATGGAAAAGAAACTTTATCTAAATAATTGATCTTCCAGAAAATAACATCACAAATATTCACTGTGGCAAAGACCCAAACAGAAATTTTGAAAATTACCTAACAAGAAGTTTCCTTTGTCAGAAAATGTCTCTTTCTTAATTGACCATGCTAAAGCTACTGCAGTTAGTATCAGGCATTATTATCCAACTGCACCAACTAGAGTATAAATCATGCTTAGATGACAGCTGGTTATTTTGTACAAAAGTAACAAACTTGTTAAACTGTTTGGAAGCAAGTGCTACACCTCTCGAACTCCTCCTCTTTTCCCTTCCCTAATGAGATATGCACCTAAAACAAGGCACTTGGCTAATAAATAACTTATTAAATGTTTTGGTGTATAGTTTTGCTGAGCATTTTAACCTGTTGTTTGCATTTTGACTTGCCCTACAGGTTCATCAAAATACGGCCCAACAAAAATGCTCAGAGATACTACACACCAAAATATCAAACAAGATATGTAAATGTATTCTTACTAAAACCTGAGAACAAGTTCTGAAACTGAAACATGACAGAAATTGAAAATCTCCTACTCAGAATCTAGTTTAACATAAGTGGACGAAAAAAGTCAACTCATCTTAATGGGCAACATACTGTTGGTTATCCAAGTATTTCACCATTAAACCTTTTACATCCTAACATCAGTATACAATCTCCATACTGTACTTCATACATTTCTTAAGGTGCTGACAAGGAGAATTTGTTTAGAAATCATCAGTCTTTTTGGTTGGTGATCATTTCCTTTATTCTCATGACCTTAATGTCTGATTGAGGGGTGATAATTATTGTAAAGAGAAATTAGATGCTGGTCACTCTTAGGTATTAGTCATTCAAAGGGTTAACAATACACAAGCATGACTACTACAGTATACAGTTAATTATTCACATCTTAAAAACTTTCAAAAACTTATTTTACAAAATTCTTGTGGAATCACAACAAGTTGTTTCAACATTTCATTGAAACAGCAGCCATTGCGTCCCTTAGATGAGATATTCAAATGTTGATTTGATGCTTCAGCAGCTGGACTTAAAGAAAGAAAACCTTTCTTTTCCAAAACAATGCAAAACAAAGCAAGCTGACTGCATTAATCACAATAACAAAAACATGCTCAAGACATGTGCTTTTTTTGGCGCAGAATGTGAAAAACGTGCGAAAGTTTTGCATGTGCATTTGCCATCTACCTCTGAGCTGTATTGTATGTACATGTAGTGTAAAACTTTGGCAAATTTTCAAATTTGGAAATTTTAACAAATTCTTCTACTTAACTAGATCGAGAAAAAAATTGCAAAACTTACTACCTTTAGGGGAATGAGAATTTCTGAAACGGGAGAGGGTTTCCTTTTTGAATGACTTTGGTGTTTTTCAGAAATCATATGCAGTAAAGTATTCTTCAAAAATGTAAAAAGTATTCCACAAAGTACCACAGAAAAAGAGAAATAAAATCAGACAAAGATAAAAGTTGATAATGGCACATTTTCTTCCTTGTTAATGTTGGACTGCTTGATCTGAAAACTGAAAAACAACTGTGCTTCCAAAGAGAAATTTCTCCCAATCCGCATTACAAAATTTTTTCCAACCTACAAAATCCAACTTCCACAGAATTTTCATGCTACATCACATGCAACATTATAATTACTCTCTACAACATACATACAGCACAGAGAAAATTATTTTAGTTCTAACCTATAAGTATACTGACAGACTGCAGCAATGATTAACAATCATATTGTCAATGGTGCTCAACTTCCCTCTCGCCCTATTCCTTTATGAGGATTATCTTCCATCAGATGATATACCAAGAAAGCCGTAAAAGCAAGAAAAACTCCAACTGCAAGCAGAATTTGAATATGAGGACCACATATGCTATGTTCCTCCTTGTTGGGCTCAGGAGTCTTCTTCTTTGCCACAGTCTCCATGGGATGTTCTTTGGACAAGTTGTTCTCAGAATCCTTGCTAAGGATTTGTTGGGTTTGCTGTGTTGTCATTGTCATGCTTGGTGGGACTCTTTTTGTAAGTGTTGCCTTTGATGGTGTGGATGATGATTTTGGATAGGAAAAGTGCTTTGGAGTTGTGTCTTGCTGGTCTGAAAATTGAGAGAAAAAAAATTAAATAAACAACTTCAACCCTGAGTCAAATTATGATGCAAAAATATTCCTGAGCTAGATTCTTATGATAATACAATGTATCTTTTTTCTGAAGCATCTCACCAGGCTGGAATCTTAAAGAAATGATTCTGATTGGCTAATTGCACACTGATAACCAGTCCAGCTTTTTACAGTAAAGACCACAGTTTGGAACTTTTTCCTGGCATTTGCAGCAAAGCAGGAAAAAACAAACCCTAGCAAAAATTAATATGTTATTGACCAGTCTAGGTCAGTCCAAATTGAGAAAAAATCATGTCCTTAGTCTTGCAACTGGCCTTGACACCTCAAGCACTGTATTTTCCCAAACAGACCTCTGGCCCAGTAAATAACACATAATATATACACAACTACATAACTGATATACTTCCTTCAATTCAATATTTGATCAGTAGCTCAAATATATACAAAGTGCCAGTTATATATATATTTTTTCCAATGCTAACTAATTTTGTTGCCAAAGTAAAAGGCTTCATTTTGACAACAACATACATGTACGTCAAATGACCATATAACTGGAATGCTTTTTCACTAATAAAATCTCTGTCAATATTGCAGGTTACAAATTAAAGTATAAACGTAACAAAACATTTTTCTTGTAAATTTACAGTTTGTTACTTTCTTAGGCACAAGAATCAACAGCAAGAAGATTCCTTCAGTACCTTCTCCATCAAGCTCATATGGAAGAGGCTCTACTTCTTCCACTTCTTCCACTTCTTCCACGTCTCTCTCTTCTGATGAAACTTCATTATCATCAGAAAACTCCACATACTCATTACTGGGCTTAACTGGAGAAGCCTTTGGTTTCTTCGGAGAGACTTTCGGCACAACCGGAATGACAGGATTACTTTTCTCTTCTGTCAGCAACTTAGCTAAGAAATACAAAAATTGGAGATAATTTTTTGTAATAAAAAAAATGCCCTGGAATATATGTTTCTGCCTTTTTCTCTTAAATATCACAACTCCAAAGAACTTTTTGAGTTAAGGTTACCAATATGGATTCTATCCTTGAGAATCTAATCACAGACTGAGCTACATTTGATCAGAAAGTTTCTTGAATTATGCAATCTACAGTACCGGTAATTGCCAATTATCTAAAGTCAAGCAATTGCAATCTGAGATTATTTCACACAAAAGAGATGCCAAATTTAGCTTTTAGATTTCAAAATATTTGTAAATATTTGCCGAGTCGAACTTCCTCAAATTATTGAACAGATACATACTCTGTTGCTGTGCGTCTGTACAATAAAAGATCTTAGGTGGCATCAAAATGTGGTATAAACAAAACAGCAGCACACAAGGTGCAGCCCAGTGTGCCACTGATGTTATTAACCTTTAACTCCCATGAGTGACCAAGACAGAATTTCTCCATACAACAGCAATACATTATCAACCAGATAAGTAGTTGGGGATAACTAGTTGATTCAATACTAAATTCTCTGAACTACATGTAAGAATTTGTGGTTGAAAGTGAGGAGAATAACAAACTTGATCTAGGAGAAAAAGCAGACTGTTGTTAAGGATGACATCATTTATGCATCTAATTGATCAATTAAGAACAAACCAATCAAAATGTGTACGATTCTGCTTATCATATAAACATTTTTGTCAGCTCATGTGAGTGATTACAAATGAGTATATCACCTTACCCAGTTTCTTTTGATAGATCGGACGTGTGGATTCGGTAATAGGGCCTACTGTAGCTCCAAATGATTTTAGCTGCCTGGCAAGATCGCCATCAGACAAAGCTGCCACATCGAATGGCAGGTCTCCCTTAACTCTTTTATTGATGACAACCTTTTTGGGCAGCTTGACCGGAAGCTTCTGTAAAATCAAATTAATGAAAAAATTAAACTTGTTCCATGAAGATGACCACAAGTGACCAAGACAGAATTTCTCGTTGCAATATCAGTATAATATCAAGTAGACAAGTGATGAGAATTAAGAAAAATATCAATAAGGGGATAATAAATTGATTTGACAACAGATTCTCTAAACAAACATCATAAGAGTTTATTGGCAGATGGTATGGAGAATTACTAATTTGATCTTGGGAGTGTAAGTGGTAAGGGAAATATTTAAGAGATTACTGTGTCGTGAAAACTCTGAAGGTAAGAACCACTTCATGAGATCTTCCTTAAAGATTGGATATTAAAGAATTCTCTAACTTCTGTGCACAATTTCCTGCCTAACTTTTGAAGGTCTGAACAGTTTTTGAATCTTTTGTTGGATCTTTTCACTCTCCTATCAGCACATTTCTCCCTGACAAACCTTGACCAAGGCATCATTTAAGTGATAATTAAACAGTATTAACAGCAGACAAAACATGAAGTGTCCCAAAAACCTGCATCTTCCTACATACCATGGCCAATAATGGAAGAAGGAGGTTAAGATGCAAAATGGAAAGCAGAAATAAAGAAATTGTCACAGGCTAAGAATCATAATAGTGTGATCAAGGTAATGTTACTTTTTCATTTAACTACATGCTTGATTACCACCTGCCACAGCTTCTTTTGTGTGACATACAGCTATATTTACATGCACAATGATAGTAGCAAGTAAACCTAATTTACAATTTAATTAATTTTGCTTGTCTACTTTGATTTGTTTAAGACAAACTAATTAAAGATAAAAAAAAACTACATTCTTGAAAGTCCAATTGTAAAGTGTTTAGGAAGCTTTTCTAGCCTTAGAGATCAGAAAAATATCCAGCCACTACAAAGAAAGTACTGCCTAAATTTTGATGGCCTGAATTTCCTATTATCAATTTTATCCTCCAATAAACTACAACATCTCTTTATGAGAACCTTGAGTATTGGACTGCTGAAACAGCATTCATGTGTAGGTCCTATTCAATCTGTAAAGCACTCAGATGGGAGAGGAACAGCTCTGGAATCAGTTTGATTTCTTATTACCAGTTTTCTTGAATATAGTGGTGGTTAAAATCTTAATACTTTCCCTTGATACTGCTACAGTTGTTTTGCTTTCATTTTTTACCACGTTGATGCTTCTAGTTCTTTTAAGTGCTGGTGTAGCAAAAATTAAGAGAACCTAATGTTCCTAAATTGTTTAGCCACCATGATAATAAATTCAGTCACGAGTCAATTCACTCCTGTTATCACCTTTTCTCAGACTGCTACATTTCTAAATGAGCATGCTAAATTATCAGTTTGCATTTAATCTTTCATGGAGTATGGAACTGTTCTTGAAAATAATTGTGAGGAAATTGAAAACGAAAGAAAAAAGGCACTGCACAAAACGGACCTGCAAGAGCTCTGAAATATGAAATATGAAACGTGAAATATGTAGTCCACTAATTTAGGTACATTATTTTCGATGCAATAAAACGAGTAATAAGTAATGTTCCTTACTTGTTCGGTAGCTGGCATTCTACAGCAATGTACTGCTAATATTCGCAATAATAAAAACCAGGGCGCAGCAAAGCCAACTTGTAAAAGCTAAACCTTTGCTTCAGCTTCTTCATTAATTAATTGGAAACTTTTGAGTAAATTATACGAGTAAAGCCATGAAATCTACGATTACCAGGCGAATTCCAGACAATGAATACGTCAAATCGACTAAATTGTTTTTAAAGTAGAGTTTGTTGAAAAGTAGCCACACGTTCGTTTCGCCAACGAAACAAAACAAAGCCACATTCGGAAAGAAACCTGCTGCTGGGATTGAATTGACAAATCACAGAATGTTTGAAAATGAACAAATTGGCCACCAAAACCGCACACGCCAAAACAGTAAATGGTAAACCTATTTTAGCGACGAAAACACCCTCTTTGTGGCCTTTAAATATTAAAATATTTCAGCAGAATAAATTAAAGGAGAACGTGAGTATATTGGTACCTGGCTGGCTCGCATGGGAGAATATTTGGACATCTCCTCTTCATCGGAAGAAAATTCTTCATTTTGATTTTGCGAAGTCAAACGTTCCAGGTATAAATCAACGTAAAAAGCCTTTCTTTGCTCAGCTCGCGGAAGTGGAACACCGTTCGCCTTTAATTCAGATTTTAGCTCATCTTTCGTTAAAAGACGTGGATTGTTGGAAAATGTCGACATCTTGCATCAAACGTTTAAAACTTTTCCTGAGACATGCGAACACTGTAATCAAATCGAAATCACGGAAGCAAAACTTGTTGGAGGCGCGAAAGCGCGCCTCTGGCGAATCCTTTGCGCATACGCCATATTGTTAACCGCTGAATTCGAGTGCTCGCATTAGGCCAAAATGGCGGAATAGTTGGCGTTATCTTAGTAGAACTTTCTATCGAAATAATGGCCCTTCCGCCGGCCAAGGAGGGTGAAAAGGGTTTAACACTTTGCCGTTTATCAGGTTGGTGCTTGAACGTTCATATCACTGTATACATGGATTCGCATGATCGAGCATTGACACACGAAAGTGAATACTCGTGTTCATCTGTGGGTTAACAGCATATTTCAGATGAGGAACACGTTAAAAAATTTTGCGCGATTTTGATCCCAGAATTATAATGCTAGGCTCAAGGAGTGATGAGCTTGATTACATATTTAATCTTACTTAATTTAAGAAAGAAAAATTCAGATATAGGAAATAACACATTCGTACGCATGTTAGAATGCTCTGTGAATATGCATGAGTCTTTCGGCTTCATGATCCGGAAGGTGAAATAGGGAAAAATTAAAAACTCGCCTTGAAACGTTCAAGTATCTGAGTTTTGTGTCCCTGTTTGGGAATAATTCAATTCAAAAGGACCTTGACTGCTTTTCTCACTCGTGAACAACTCAGTTATTTATTCTTTCACCCTAAAACTCCCAAGGTCTGATAGTTCATTCTCCCCGTTAGCTGCTACACAATTTCTTGAAAATTAGAAAGAAGAATTTGTTGTTAGATCAAGATAATAACCACTTGATAAGTTTTAGTTGTCTCATCACCTGTTTGCTGGATAATGTACATTCTATATGGATATTACTATAAGAAGAAGTTACTAGTTCATCACTTTTGGGAATTAAAGGGATAATTTTTTGAAGTTATTTTTCCAAGTTTCTCATTTACTTAATTGGTAAACATCCAACTCAGAACTGTGTATCATATCTGACAGAGAAATTGGAGCAAGTTTTGTAGAACATCAGCCTTGTATCTGTGCTCTAATGAATCAAAGATAGGAAATTGTAGAAATATGTTAACAGAATTTTGATTAATCAGCCCTTTCACCCCCAAGACCTTATAAGTGATTCTCCAGATTGTCTGTTATACAATTTTTGAGATTTTATTTTGGAGAATTTGATATTGGATCAACTAATAATCCCATAAGTGATATTTTCTTTTTTTTTTCAACACTTGTCAGCTTTATGTTGTATTAATTTATACTGTAAGGAGAAATTCTGTCCTGGTCACTCATGGGAGTTTAAGAGTTAGCAAGGAAGGGGCACAGAATTTGAGTAAAGTGGTCACTGCAGTATTTTTTGTTTTCCATACACAGCACCAACCTCTCTTCGATTTGAGCCTGTTGGTCGATGGTATGAAGCAAATATTCGCCGCCGTCAGCATGGCTTGTCTTCGCATCACAGTAGCTCCAGTGCTAGTTCGAGTGCTGGCTCTGAGGTAGATTTTTCTTCAGATGAAGAAGATCATAATTTTCTCCTCACCTTGGATCCTACAGACTGTAAGGTAAAAGTTCAAAAAAGTCTTCCATTAAAATAAGATTGTTTCTACATGAATATGTTTAGAAGTCTTTGCGCTTCTTTGATTGTTTTCAAGGATGTTAAAGTTGAGGTTTTGTATTGATAAATAAGTCTTATATGTAACTTGTAAATCTTTATGTCAGTTTCTATAATCATACGATACACTCAGCCCTAGTCTTGTAAGAGCCTTGTCTGCCTTCATTTATTACAGGAACTGTATCTTTTAGCTATTGGCACGCATTTTAGAGCACACAATAAATTACATTGTACTTACAGCAGTTAAACCTCACTTGTCTTAGCACCAGGATCATTACAAGGTTTTAGGACTTGGCAAACTCAGACATAAGGCTACTGCTGCAGACATTAAGAAGGCATGTAAGTATCACTTTGAAGCAAAAAAGTGTACCTACTGTTGTCACATTATAACTAATGCATAGGAAAGGGAACTAAATGTATGTAGCTTACTAATTGCTCTTTGTATTTCAAAGAAAGTTAATTTTGGAACCCATAGTGCTGTAAACTGCCTAATAGGGCGCAACTTTTAACCCTTTCACTCCCACAAGTGACCAAGACAGAATTTCTCCTTACAATATCAATACAATATCAAGCAGGCAGGTGATGAGAATAGAGAAAAATATCAATCATGGGATTATTAGTTGATCCAATACCAAATTATCTGAACTAATGTCATAAGAATTGTATGGCAGATAGTAAGGAGAATTACTAATTAGATCTTGGCAGTGAAAGGGTTAAGTAACTCATTGCAGATGATGTCAAAATAAGGTAAGAACAAACATTGGCATATGAGGTGCTGCTAAGAGTTGCAGATGTTTTTACCCTATTTTGATGTCTTCTGCTTTCTATTACTGTACACACCCACAGTTACAAGAAATCTAGGAGAATTAATGATGAGATCTAAAAGAGGGGACTTCAAAGAGTTAAGATCAGGAACTAAACTATGCTGTACCTTCTTCCTATGTTGAATTCTGCTTGGTAGTCAGGAAGATGGTGCTTAAACATCATCCAGACAAGAAGACCAAAAAGGAAGAACCTTCTAAGAAGAACTTTTCTGATGAGGATCTGTTTGCATGCATCACTGCTGCAAATGATGTCCTAAGCAGCAAAGAGAAGCGGCGAGCTTATGATAGCGTGGATCCAATGTTTGATGATACCATCCCTTCAGTAAATGCCAACTCGAGAAGTAATTTTTTCGAAGTTTTTGGCCCGGTGTTTGAGAGAAATGCTAGGTAAAATTCTTAGCATTGTTGTATTTTCTTCTCTTGTCCATTGAAGTTGCATTTAGTTCAGCTTTTAATTTACATACACAGGAATAAAATTTTCTTCCAGCTCTAGACTAAGAAAACTGTAAGGTTTCTTCAGGCACAAATTTAAGTGCATCTTCAGGCATATATGCTCTCACAGAGGGCTTCTTGAACTACGAGTTATAGATGTGAATAATCTTGTGATTGCATTTTTTTTAGAATCAGAAAAGCTAGAGAGTGGCTGGATTTGAGCTTGTGTCCTTTGTGAAATTAAAATATTTGAACAGAGGTTTTTGTGTCCCAAAGTTGCATGTCAAGCACTTTGTTCTTTGCTTTAATTTTAAGTACGAGATTAAAATCATTTCCTTGAAACTACAGATAGAGATCTTTGGAAAGTTCTTTCATTTCCAGCCTAGATTCTTAATCCTTGATTCTCAATAGTTTTGAAGATCAAGGATCAAGTTTTGAGTCCAAACTGTCAAATCACTTTTGAGTGATGCTGTATGCTTGAAGTGTCAGCTGTTGATCAACAATTACTCTTCACCTTCCATTGTATGATTGAGTCTATCGTTCTCTGTTTTTTTGTTGCAGATGGTCCAAAGTTCAACCTGTCCCACCATTAGGAAATGTAAATTCAACATTTGAAGAAGTCGATAATTTTTATAGCTTTTGGTAAGATTTTACTTGTGTTGTATTCCTAGTATGAAATTTAAAAAGAAGGTGACTACATAAAAACCTAACTACAGAAAACCATGGATTGAGCAGAAGCAGTTTTTGATAGGTTCTCCCTTATCTATGATCCATTGACAGACAAATTTATTTTCATGTTTATCTACCAGGTATAATTTTGATTCATGGAGAGAATATTCTTATCTAGATGAAGAGGAGAAGGAAAAAGGGGAGAAGTAAGTTGTATATTTATATGATTTAAAAGCAAATTTTAGCCAATACGCATATGATTTCTTTCCATGCATTTCTTTTGAGAGTAGTTTTGAGAATATGGAATAAACAAAGATATTTCCCTTTTTGATGGGTTAATTTGCTCTGTTACATCAACCTTTTACACCTGAGCATCAGCATGCAAATTCTCTGTAGTTTCCTCAATACATTTCGTCAGGCATAATTAAGGATTTGCCACGACCTCAACCCTCTAACCCCTGAGAGTGACCAGCATCTAAATTCTCCTCAAAATATTACCATTGAGTCACACATTAATGTCATGAGAATAAAGGAAATGATCACCAACTAAAGAAACTCTTGATTGTTAGACAAATTCTCCTTGTCAGCACCTTAGTAAATGCACAGAGAACAGTGTGGAGAATATAGATACTGATGTTAAGGTGTAACGGGTAAATGTTTGATTAGGGGTGAAAAGAAAGGGAGAGTATAGTTGTAAGTCACCTTTAAGAATTAATGAGTGTTTTGTAGGACCAATTGTAGAAGACTTACAATGCATGTAGGGATTAGTAGCAAATTCAACTAAATTTTTACCTTTTTATACTTAAGGGCCAGCCATGGTAAAATGTTGGCACAGTTTTGGACAGTTTCCATAGTCTTTTCACATGAAAATTTCATATACACTTGAAATGTGCCTGGCAAAAAGCGTATGAAAAGCATTTGATGAGTGTAAAAAAATCATCCCTTTGAAAGAGTGTCTTTACATGCTTTTCAACTACAGTAGATCTTGAAGCCATTATGTGAAAATTGGACTCACGCATGCGCTAACGGCCTCGACAGCGATTTGTGACGTAAAATGAACGACCCCGAGCGCATAGCGTCTGAGTAATACCTAAAGAGTATTTGACGAACTAATGATCTGCAATTATCTAAAGTTGTGATAATGTTTGTTTACAGTCGTGATGAGAGGCGGTGGATTGAAAAACAAAACAAAGTTATGAGACAAAAGAGGAAGAAAGAAGAAGTTGCTCGAATAAGGACTTTAGTAGGTAAATGCTCACTATGGCAACCTTAATTATTCAATTAATTTATTTGTCATAAATTATGATAATTTAATTATCTTAGTCGGTTGGCATTTTAATGCAAAATTTGTCAAAAGTATACTTTTGACAAATTTTGCATTATATGTGAAGCGATGTGAAGCTCATTTAGATTTGGGGTGATATGCCAAAATTGTAGAAAAACGATTAAGGTGGATGAGAAATTTGCGGAAATTAGGCGCGGCAAATACATTTTCATGTACATCTAAT